TTTTTAACTTATTTATAATTTCAGAAATGACTATTTATTAAATTAGTCACCTTTTTTAATGGGACGAACTTTGCTTTAGAAAGGAATAACTGATTGTCTTCAATCCCAAGAAATCTTTCTATTTAGGTTCTAATCTTTCGTGATCACTGGATGTTCTTGCGTAAAGGGCTGTACTGTACAGAGCATTTGGGGTAAGGGCTGTGCGTCGTCTTTTCCTGCAGGGTAAGGTTTGAGTCCAATCCTTTTTGGACTCTAGAGGGACGTTTCTAAACCCTAAGAAGCAAGGATTGGGTTCAGGAGTTGTAAGAAGATAGTGCATTGTTGTGACACACCCCAAAATACTGTGTTTGTCCGTAATCTCCACTGATCATTCCAGAGATTAGATGTGTAGCAAAGCTGCTGGTGATCCATTGGTCAGGTTGGGTAGCAGAGTTATCCCTGTGCTTGTCTGGTTGTGGGGTGGGGGAAGCCCAGGTGGAGGTGGAAGCGTGGTTTCTGTGTATCCAGGGCCATCTTCCTCAGTAAAGGCTCAGGGTTTCTCTCCCTCTCACCATGTTTTTATTAAGGTTGATGGAATCTGTGCAGCTAAGAACAACATAGGTGTAAAGTAGTTCCTTCTAACCTTGCTTTTTAATTAATTTTGAAGCATTGACAAAGGAGAAAAGAGGCCTAATATTTGGAACAATACAGGATGAAGAACTTGATTTGTTTGTGGAAGTTGCTTGGAGTTTTTTTTAAAGGAGTGGAGCCAAGGAAATTCCCACCCTGCATCTCTCACTGTGAGAGCAGAACTGGCCTCCGGGAAAGCTCTGATGTCAGAGAATTCCCCAGTTTTGTGGACTTCCCCATTTCTCCCAGGTGAAGGAAACTTCTGTCTCTGGCACCTCAGCATGATTGCAGCCTGATAGAGAGGGAGACCTGCTACCTTTGCTCTGGAAAATCAAGAGTTCTGGAATTGAAAGTGCATGTGTGTATCCCTCATGGAAAATCCCTTACCTGTAACTAATTCTGATGCTAGAAATAGTTTCAAACTGACTGCCAAAGCATCGAGAGCAAACCCAGCTGCCTCCTCCCCTGCTGTTTCAAGATTTCAGCTTCTTGTGGCTTCTTAGGTGGTTGGTCACGTCCCATGGTGGTAACATCCCTGTTTTCCCATGGTTTGCCCTGGTTAAGAATACCTTCTGTTGCATTGGGTATTTTTTATTTATTTTGAAATGTGACATGTGCTGTTCTCCTCCCACCAGTAAGAGTAAACCCCTTGGTTTTCCTCTGGGTCCTGCTCTGCTGCCCCACACAAGATTGCTGCATGCTTTGGTTTGGGAAGCAGCTTGTGAGCTCTCATCAATTTTAAGCAAAATCACCTGGGTGGTTTCACCTACCAATTTACTTGGCTAGCAATGTAAATAATCCAATATGGATTTTATTTTTTTTCCCCTGAATGTTAAGGTAACAGGAGAAAGAGAGCAACAGCCTGGATGTTGTGGCTGGTGCTGTGCTGTGCTTTTTAAACCTGACTTTGTGAACTGCAGGTACAAGAGAAGCCGAATTTGTCAGTGCGCTTTAGAAAATAAAATGCGCTGTCGTCTTCACAGCAACCTCTTGTGAGTTGAGACTGGGAGGGTTCTGGATTCTGGCTCCCTGGGAGCCACTCAGCTCTCAAAAATCTTGTAAGCCAGAACCTTGCAAAATGGACTCCAGTTTTGGGTGCTGAGCTAGAGATGCAGCAAAGCCCTCCCTGTTCCCCAGCACCATCCCAGCAGCTGCTCTTCAGTGAAGTCGTTGAGCTGGGGCTGTGTTCAGGTAATTAGCTGGGTACTTAAACCCAGCTCCTCAGTAAATTGGGGCTTTCCCCTCTTTCAAATGTTCCGTATGCAAAACACAATACCTACCTCAGAGCTGTTCCCATGTTTAACGTGCGATATGAGATCTCAAGAGAAAGGCTGCCATGCTGGAGGTGCAAAGTGCTGCGCCATTGTTTACAGTTAAATATGGCCATATGTGAAACCTTTATTCTTAGCAATTTCTACAGGTTTGCCGCATCCCGCCACTCCCTGGCAGGAAGCAGGGATGCAGGACTGGGAAAGGCCAACAGAGCACGTCACCAGTGCGCACACAGCGAAGGTGGATGTCAGACTAGACTTGGGGCAAAGCCAGAATGCAGTAACGCAGTCATTTTGGCTGAACATATTGCTGTCTTTCAGGTTTGAAAAGGTTTTTGTTTTTTTTACCTGCTGTAGACAGAACAGCTTAGCCTTGAGGAGGGGCTGAGGGAGACTCTAGCCAGGAAGGTGAGGAAGCAGCAGCGCTGGCTGCTTTACCACTGACCCATGTCAAGGGTTAAGCTGTGAACTGAACGCACTCTTACACCGTCGGCAGGGAGGAACTGAGCGTGTGCTGGTTGTTTCTCAGCTTCCTGTACTCTCTGTTGGGGAAAGAGCAGTCCTGATTGTCCTGCTGTGAGGGAATTCCGGGAGACCACAGTCGCTCTGGCTGTGCAGATACGTGTACAGACGTTCTGACACAGCTTTGTCTTAGGTCTCGCTTCAGTCTTGCGGCAGCCACTTTAGTTGTATCAATTCCCTTTCAGGAACAGGAAAAAACCCCAACTTCTAATAAGAACTTATTATCCCAATTTGGTTTACTCATCAAAATATTGTGAAAATCCAGTCATCTTAAATCTGTAACACTTACTGCAGCTCAGAATTCCTGGTTGGAAGTGGTGAGCCGAACTGCTCAGCTGGGCTGTGAAGCTGCTGTGTATTGACGCAGTTGCTAAGGCCAGCCGTGCTGGAGTCACAAATCCCCTATTTCAAAATGCATTTTACTAGCTCACACCTCTTTAATATCCGAATTGTTTATACTGTGAGCCAAACAATGCAAGAAATGGAGTTATTGGACTCTTAAGGACTAAAATTGACAAGCACTTGTCAAAGATTCCTGCATGCTATTGGCTTTAATATTCCTCCAACATGTTTGTGATAATTCTTATACCTGATTATTTCTCTCTTGGAAGGCTAAATTGGAATCATGTGACATGCATTGGCTTTTAATGACATCAGCATCCACTTCCAAGCTATTAGTTACATACATAAGTTAAATGGGCATTAATTTTTTTTTAAGCACTTTCTCTCCCTTGCAGCTGTCTTCATTTTTAGATATTGAAGGTCCTTTTTTTTTTTCTTCTCAGCCAAAAAACCCCCAAACATTGTTTAAGAGCACACTAGCAAACACAGAGTGCTTTGTAACCTGTTACTTGACAACAGATGTACTTAGTTACGGTATTTGTAGGTTCTGGTAGGAGCTGTATGTTTCTGTATGTTGGAAATAAAGCATCTTTAAAGAACATGTCTGATTGTTTGATGCAACCGTTCAAACTGTGCTGAACTCTGAAAACTGAAGTGTGTCTGCTGCTCTCTACCCATGGAAACAGAGGGGGGGTCTTGCTTATATTCAGTTATTCCTCCTTTTTAACTATTCTTATTTTTTCCTGTAGAACCAGCACTTTTTGTTTATTTTCATACCACAGAGCAGGCTGGTACAACACATCCTGCAGTGCAGTTGGTTATTTAAAATACAAAGGGCCCACTGGGTTCCGATGGCCAGCTGAGATGAACTGGGCAAGGAGTGTGTCTTCCTTCTGCAACTGGGTGTTAGGAATTTGAGTTTCAGGCAGTTGTTACTAATAGACTTTATTCAAGTTTCAAATATTCTTCTGTAAATAATAAAAAAATAGAATCTTGATTTACAGGTTGATTTGATGCCAACAGTGGCACAGAAATTACATATCCTTGGAGAGATACAAACAGAGTGCATAAAAACATTAATGTTCAGGCTCAGACAGGCTTTCGCACCCCCCCACCCCCCTTTGCAGCATTAAAGTGGCGCGTTAAAGGCAGGTCTTCCCTCACGTGGAAGCGAACTCAAATACATGGGTTTTGTGGTGTGTTTTGGGGTTGTTTTTTTTTTAAATACCTTGTGCAAAGATGTCTTCCAGTAAAATGTCTGCTTTCCAGCTGAGATACCTTGGGGTGCTTGAAGCACGCACCGGTGGGGGTCCCAGCTCGCTGCTGGCAGTTGTTCCCTTGGAGGAGGGAAGCGTGGTTCTAGCAGCAGCGAGCAAGGGCCACTGCAGCGGTGTCCTGCTGGCCGAGGGCAGCAGGGGCTCATCGGGCCGGTCGTGTCATGCTGCCGCTGTCTCCTCCCTTCCCCGGTGGGAGAGCTCACCCTCGGTAGCTGCCCACAATGGCTTCTGGGAGGTACAAGAGAATGCAAGAATGAGTATTTCTTATTTTTAACTGAAAAGGCTTTTTACGTTGCTGTACTGTACCAAAACTGCAGTGCTCATGAAGACTACTCCTAGGAGTAAGGATTCACTAAGAAAACACTCTGGCCCTGCAGTCAGTATAGGCCAGGTAAAGAAAGTCAGGTGCAAGTCAGCCTTTGAGCCTACCATGGTGGGCAGGAGGAGGGATGCTGTGGTTTTATCGTGTGCTGTACCTGTTGCAACATTTTAAACCTCTTTTTTCAGTTTTCTGACAAAAGTCTGAGCTTACCAGGGAAGGGCAGATAATTACAGACTACACCACCCTTAGGCCAGCTTCCTTAAGCCTAGCTTTATGCTAGAGGCAATTTATTCTGCATCTTAAAATTATTTACTATTGCTCGGGTGAGAAGGGACCTTCCTGCAGTGCCTGTGGCTTACACCCCTCACCTGTTTCCCTCAAGCACTGGAAGGAACCAGCCCTTCTCCTTTCCCCCTGCAGAACTCCCTCACCCACCTGTGCATGTGGACGCTGGCCCTGTGGCTTGTGCCCTGTGGCTTGTGCCCTGCATCCTCTCATGGCAGCTCATTTCTCAGCCTTGTTTGCTCCAGCTGGAGCAGCGAAGGGAGGGAAGCCAGGCCAGAAATGAGGCAGTTTCCTGAGCTGCTCTTGGGTTACACAGGTTTTACGTCCTGGGGCTGAACGGAGTCAGTGCGGAGTAAAATACCTCGTCTCTTCTCATCCGGGACTCTGGAGGAGCGCCTGACTCTGGTCCTGGGGATCTTCTGGCTCGCAGGCAGCAGATGTGGAGGGGTGACTGGCTTCCCCGTTCATCTCCCTCAGGGGCTGGTAGAGATAGCGGCCGCTCTCACGGTGCCTCTCTGACCGCGCCTTGAGAAAAAGGCCTGCGTTTCCCAGGGCGCTGATCACGAGCAGCAGAGCCAAGACAGAAGTCACAGAGACACAGGTTTTTCTGTCAGATATAAGAAAAATCCATGTAAGTAAAATATCTCGACCTGCTTTCACACGTTCCCAGTGTGCAAATGACTTCTCAAGGTTTGTACTCCCTTCTCTGTCACCACAAGCTGGTGGTTGTGCTCTCGGGCAGGTGAGAACGTGCTTTGGGACAGCCTGTGCCTGCAGAGCGGCTGCAGCTTCACCAGTGCTGCAGGAGCCGTGCTCCAGCCTCAGACCTGTCCTTGTCCTTTTGTTGCACGTGCAGGGTGAGAGTGAAAGTGGGTCTTGCTTAACTGTAAGCTGCAGAGCGCCAGGGTCAGAGCACGAGCTGCCACGGATGGGCCTTCAGCTCCATTTTTGTCACCTTGCCTTCCCTCTCCTCATTTTTCCCAGCGCGAGATAGAACGAAGTCAGAACGCGGACGCTGCAGGCAACGCGACAGCAGGTCTGACCCGCTGGCAGCCAGGAGCTGAACGACTCCATCGGTGAGCAAGTGCTGGCATAGACTCTGTGTGTGTGTGTGTGTGTGTGTGTACACGTAGATGATGAGTATTACACACTTACTCTGACAGAGAGAACTTTTTGCTCCTTCCCTTATTCTGGGAAGCCAAACACTGCCCAGCTGAAAAAGAACAGAGGGAAGAGGGGCAGTGTTAGGGGGAAGGTGTCAAATTGTCGGATTCCACTGACAAAGGGTGGAATTACTTGGTAACTGAGCAAACAGAACATCATGCACCAAAGCTGCTTTTCTAACTTTTTTTTTTTTTTTAATTTTTAACCACCCCCCTGCAGAGGTACCTTTGTTTAACTGGTCCTGTATGGCCGAGTCGTAGGTGACGTTGCAGCTGCCTGTCTCCCGGTCGCAGGGACACGCGTGTTCACACGCACAGGGCTTCTGGCAGTTCGGTCCATACCAGCCCATGGGACACTCTAGGGAATCCATGAGAAAGAAGTCGGTCATCACCAAAGCTCTGCGTGCTCCAAAACCATCCTGTCTGTCGCCACGGCTCCGCCGTGCCTGTTTCCTCCCCAGCTCAGGCAGGATGGGTGCGTTCTGAGCTTTAGGAGAGGCTCCGACCTCGCCTACATCTCGCTGAGGTATTCGTGTTGCATGGCGATCTCTGGCCACTTTGCTTCCCCTGCGGTTTTTCTCCCTGCAACACCTGAACTATGGCCCCGCTGTTTGGCTGGCAAGCGGAGGTGGAGGGGGCAGCAGCGGCCTGTTCCCAAAGGGAAGCAAGTGCTCGTGTCTGAGTACACGCATCCACGGCGCTGAGCAGCCGGGGCCCCGGGTTTCCTGCAGCCTGACAAAGCTGTCCTGCCTGCCCACCCTGCTTCCTCCAGCAGCCCGAAAGCACCAAACTGTGAGTAAACTGTGAGTTAACTGCGGGTTAACTGCTGTTGGTTTGTTTAGTCAATGAGAAGGTTTTGTAAAACAGGAATTGGGCTGGCTGAGAGTTCCAAGGCTGGGAACAAAGCATCGCTAATGTAACTGTGCACACAAGAAGTTCACACCCACGCTGTAATTAAGTTGTTCTGTCACCAGAGCAGGCTGTTCAGTCAGATGCACGGGGGCCTCGAGTGCTTCAGAAAAGCTGGCGTGGTTACACAATCGAGAACATCACTGGCTCTGGTAGCACCAGCACATACACAGCCGGAGTGTGGAGGCTGTCAGCCCGAACAGCCCTTCAGAGCATTTCACAGTCGCTGACTTAGATCACCTGAAGCTCCAGCTACAGGCAGGGCTGGTGCAACACCCTCAGGCGAAGGGTATTCGGGTTTTCATGTTCTACGCTCACGTGCTTAGGAAAGCAAAGTGGGTTTTGGGGCAGAGACTAGCCAGGCATCCACGCTTTTCTAATGACAAAGAAAACTTCTCTTTCCTCTCTGCTTCCTCCTTTTCTTTTCAGCCTGTTAGGGGATGACGGGCGAGCTGGCAGGTTGTGAGGTTCGGGCCTGAGCCTGCCTGGCCAAGCTCGCCCCTGCTTTGCCTACGAGAGGCGGTTCAGGTGTGACACAAGCTCCTCTCCCCAGCCCAGGCTGTTATTTGGAGCAGCCCTTACCTTGCTCGCAGCTGGTGCCGTAGTACCCAGCGGGGCAGGAACAGGCTCCGTGCATGGGGTCACACGAGCCACCGTTGCGGCACTGGCATTTCTGGGTGCAAGCATCCCCATAGAAACCGCTCGGACAAGCTACGGGAGACGAGCAGAGATCTCATCAGGGCCCTCATCGCAAAGGCAAGCAATCCCACCCCGTGCTTACACCCACGGAGGAGTCGCTGGCAGAGAGCGTTGGTAGGCGCTCAAAGAACAGACACTGAGCCTGTGCCTTGAGCAAGGGCTTGAAGTGCTTCACCCCGAGCCCCTCCTAAGATGCTCCGTCTGCACTTAAACTCACGCTGGCAAAAAGAGGCAGCCCCCGCGCAGCCTCTCCCTTCTCTGCTCCCTCTTGGGGAGCCACCACCCTGCAGGCAGCCGGGGGTGGTTCACACTGTCCTGCTGCCAGCTGTGAAAAGCGGAGTGGAAGTCAGCATTACCTTCGCTGCAGCTGCTGCCGGTCCAGCCAGCATCGCACCGGCATCCAGCTGTGCAAACACAAACAAGCATTAACAACACCAGGGAAAGACTTGGAAATAGCAGGTACTTAAAATTAGGAGCATCTGCGTCTTGGGGCGTCCTCTAAACTTTCCCGGCCTCTGCCAGGGAACCCACAGAAAAGGAATCCTGACCTCACAGAGGGGTTAGGGTCAAACACTCCCACTCCAGCTGCCAGACACAGCAGAACCTCCTGCCACTTGGGTTTCGAAAGATTAACTCTGGGTCAGTGATGAACAACACCTCTACCCACTGAGCTCTGCCCAGTCACGTCACTGGCACAACCCTGGCTGTGAGTTGAGCCAGGGAGGTAGCAAAAAACCAGGAAAACAGGATTGAGCAGGCATGGGAGAGCAGAAGCTGTGGGGTGGGGGGCACGTTACAGCAGTCCCTAGATTCAAAACAAGTTTACGGAAGAGTAGCAATTGCTCACTTGTAAAAATCGTGAAGCAGGAGAGTCAAGTAAAGAAGTAACAATAAGGGGAGGGAGCAGAACTCAGCTGCTTTGTCATACAGTGTAATACAGTGCCCTTCCCATCAGCAGATTTACAAATGAACCAGGAGCACAACCCCAGGGGGGCGGGAAGGGAAACTGAGGCACAGAGTCTGAATTCCAGCCCTATTACAGGCACAGTTTCCAGATCTGAGTCTCAGCCTAGCCCTGCTGCCGTCTCCTAAAGACAACATCTTGTGACCATCTCCACTGCTGCTTCAGATGCTGGAGGGAAGGGGGAGCGCCTCTGTGCACCCGGAAGGTACGAAGGGCTGAGGCACACCGCACCAGCCAGCTCCCCACATCAGGGCACGGGCTGGCCAGACTGTCAGCACCTGCAGCCCTAAAAGGCTGCGCTCCGGGGCCGGGAAACCTTCCCAAGGCTGCTGCTGGTGCCAGTTCACGTGAGCTACGCCCCTTCACACCAGGGCGGGAGAGGACCCCGTGGACCAGCTGGGACTGCACACCATGACACGCTCAGGCCCCACCGTGCTGCCTCGTGGGCAGGTAAGCAATATTGCCCACGTACACACCGCCCGGGACCCCACTTCCTCTAGAGCTACCCACGGACAGCCCTGCGTTAGGTCTTCTCTGCGCACCACAGCGACTCACCATCGGTGCAGATGCCGTGCAGGCTGCAGTTGGAAGGGCCGCAGTCCAAAATGTCACAGGCTGGGCCCCTCCAGAAGCCCCCGGCGCAACGGCACTCCCCTTCCACGCAGTCCCCGTGACCGCTGCAGTCTGCGGGCTCGCAGGCGGGCTCATGGACGCACACAACGGTCGAGATGCTCCGAGGGCAGCGCCACATGTTGTCAAAGGAGCTGGGGACAGAAGACGGGTCCCGTAAGGCGTGCAAGCACTGCGCTGCTCCCAGCCCTACGCCAAACCAGTAAATATCCATAAATTTTCATCCTGATTCATGTTAGCAAATGAGAACACTAATAATAGGAAAATATAAAACTAGATTTGAGTCAATGTTGTAACTAAGCGTTAACTCCTATTGGAAAGAATCACTTCAAACACGGAATTACAGAAAGCAACACACAAGGAAAATCTCCCTTTAAGCAGGCTCAGCTTCCCTAACTTAGGCGTTCAACACACCTTTTCTTGAGCATTATTTGCTTTGATATAAGTGACGTCGTTGCAGTTATAGCAACACTTGGCTTTCTGCTGTCGACTGCAAGCTGAATTTAAAATCCCTTCATGTTTACAGTCAGAATTGACTGAAAAGCTAAATTCAAAGTTCTTTAGGTACCCTCACGTGAGACAGGGCAGGGTCTCCAAGTGAATGTTTCTCTTCCATGATAATAAGCTGTTGACAGATCTCTGCTAACTCCTGTAACTGTGCAGCTCTCAATCTCCTGGTCGAAGAGCCGCTTCCGTATCTGATTCCCACATCGGGCCACTCAGTCATGGCAACAGCTTTGCTGCATGTCTGAAAACAGCTAAACTTTAACCCTGGAGAAAAACATGTAGCCCCTAATCCCCTTTCGAGTCGCTCTCTCCCTCAAAACCTGTGACTCGCCTTTACATTGTGAACTCCTGGCAGCACAGACTGACGCCCTCGCAGAGCAGAGGGGTGGGACCGAGCTCTGCGCGCTGACGGGAGCCGCGCGGTTATTTCTGCAGCCCCGGATACGTGCCGCCAGCACCTACCAGTGCTCAGACGGGTAGCTTGCCAGGGTCCCGTTTAAGACCAGTGTTGCAGACCCTCCACCATCCAGGTTGATGGCATTGATGATTCCTTGTTTCTTCAAAAATTCAGCCATTTCCCAGAGGTTGACCCTGCAAAAGCAAATAGTTGTTCGTTTGTGCTCTTTGACTTCAATGAACCTGCAGGACTAGAGCTTGGTGCCTCTCCTGGGTGGCGGGGGAAGCTCTCCTATCCCAGGTATGCTGGGAAAGACGCCCAACAGCGGTGTCACCAACTGACCTCTGCAAGTCTCTGCCTTGAAACGGATTATAGCTGGCAGCTGCAGAGCCCCCCCAGTTCCAGTGACAGAATTTAAAGACAGATCTTGCACCCGCCCCAAGCCCTGACCACGACCCCGGCCTTACCCTCTGGATTCTGTCTGTCCATCCACATGAACCAAGACCAGCTGCCCCTGCCTGTTGTGTCCAACCGCAGTCCTGGCTGATATCACATTGATGAACTTGTCAAAGGTTCCTGTGCGGGAGAGGGAATAATTCACGTACCAGCTGGGTGATAGAACTGGCCGTTTAGACACATCTGTCTGCAAAACAGCTGCCAGCAAGGAGCTCATCTAAACCGAGACACAATGAGAACAGAGTCCAGGTTCCTCTTGTTCACCCAAGCCCATCCAGGAATAAGTTTTCCACTCTTGTTAACTTTTTCTCTGGCACAGGGACAAAGACGGGGATTCACAAGCCCTCAGTTTTAAACACCTGTAAGAGGCATCTGCTTTGAGTTTCTCTGGACAAGTATTAATACCAACCACACCAGCGCTATTCGCAGCCCTCAGCAAATTCTATTCAACAACCCAGAACAGGCAAGTGTGCCCTCATCTTGCAGGCGGCCTATCTCCCTACTGCACTTGTCGCAGACCCGGGATAAAGCAGCACAGAAGAAACGTAGACCTCTTGAGTGAGTAGCAAACTGCAACTAGACAACGTAAGTTTCCACTGTTCCTTCCAACAGCCCCACCAGAAGGACAACCTATAGCCAGGCTGAAGCTGGGCTTTGTGATACTTACCTGTGGTTTGAATTTCATCGCACTCAGCCATTTGGCTCTGATGGATGTACACTTCTCCATCTCTTAGGAGCCAAACCACTCCGCTCACAAGCTGCACAAAAGGGTTTGCTTGATCCAAGACATCTTCCTCAGACAGGTAACTAGGAAAGAGAGAGCAGGAGGGGTTACCCACAGTCACAGCAGTGTCGTGTAAAAGCCTCTGCTGCTGCCAGCAGCTCCAGGAGGCGTGAGAAGGGGAGGAGGTGGCCGAATGAAGGCTAGCTACATCCAAAACTAGAGGCCAAGCAGTGCAAAACATCACTTTAGTAGCCAGAGTGGACCGTGTTCTCTGCTATTCTGCACAAAACTTGGCAGTTTTAATGATTTAATGATGGTCCCAGGCCACTGTGTGTGAAACAACTCCTGCCAACAACGTGGCCAGTGGACCCGAGCCAGGATAATAAGGGCAGAAAGCATCTGGCAGAGCACGAGGGCAGAGCCGTTGCCAAACACTCAGGGATCTGGGGAAGCAGCTGTAACATCTCGCTGTCTGTCAGCTTCCATTCTGCAGAAGTGACACCAAACAGCTTTAGAGAGGGTTTTCAGGAACAGCATCCAGCCTGCCTACAGCTGCGCTGAGGGAAGACACTGCTGGACGCTGCCCGCTCCCCTCCGGCTGGGAAAGAACTTCCTTGGCTTTTCCAGACACCAAAACCTTTCACTGAAGAGTCAGACAGTAAAAGGATTGCTCAGCAGCCACTTCCATGATCGGGCGTTGTGTGAATATCCCAAGGGATGTTCTTCTCTCAAGAATGAGGGTGCTGAGTAACATCTGCCTCATCAGAAGCCCATGCCAGATGTTTGCAACTGGCAGGAGAGGACAGCAGCGAAGGTTGGGGCTGAAAGCTGTGCTTTCGCCGTAAGCTCTGCCAGTGGGTTTTGGTTTAAAACTGATCACTCCGCGCACTCCAGACATGTCCTGTGGGAGCTGGATGCTCAACTTCTGGTTTTTTTAGTATCCAGGACTGCAGCTGAACAAAGCTTTGTGCTTCGTAGAAAAGTGTAATGGAAAATACCTGAATGGAAAATGTGCCAAAAGAAATCCCTTTACCCATGGAAGGGACCACAATGAACACAGCTGAAAATGGATCAAATCACACACAGCTTGAGCACGGACTAATTGGACTAATCAACTGGCAGCTTTTAAAGCCTGCAGTGTCTGGGTGGCAGAGGCAGCATCTTTGCTAGGTGGGAGACAACAATGTGCCCTGGTGCACCATCCTGCTGATGACCATATAGTGCAAAGTACTTTTCTCACTGCCCTGACAGTCCAAATTATTTACACCAAAGCTATTTCTAACGTCACGTTTTGGTTCTCAGGGCTGTCAGAGAACTGCTGCATGCTAAAGCCCTGGCTTGGGACCTTGCTGAGCTGAGGGCACGTGGGAGTGGGCTAGCAGAAGGGTGGAGAATGCAGCCAACAGACGCAGCAGCCTCCAGACTGCTTCTCGTTCTTCTGAGACCGTAAGAACCTCTGGGAACCCTTCTAGGGCCTTTGGGTGCCTGCAGCTGCTGGGGAAGGGGAGCTACCAGGGGCTTTTACTTCCAGCAAGCACTAACAGTTCCTGTGTCAGCTATTCCTCATCACAGGGTGCTTCGAGCTTTTGTCTCCAGCTGATTCAAGTGTCACACACCCTTTCAGTTGCTGCCCAGAAGAGGCCTGTACAACAGCCAGGCTGTGACCACAGCTCCCAGGAGCCAAGGGATGCGCTGGCTGGTGCGGTGGAGAGCTGGAAACTCTGCAGAGGGCAAAGTCTGTGGTGGCCCCAGCACAGCAGACACCTCGATTCATCCCATGCTGTGGAGGGAGAAGGCAGCACTCGGGCTGCAGGGATAGCTGGTGTCTCTTGCTGAAGCTGGGGCCAAGGGAAAGCGTCCTAGTGTGTGCTGCTGAGACAAGGAGCTGTGGGAGGAGGTCTGCATCCTGTGCAGCAGCAGGGATGGTCCCAGAGTATGGTGGGGGCTGGCATGGAGCTCTGGAGACGATCTAGACCAACCCCCTGCCAGAGCAGGTTGCACAGGATGGTGCCCAGGCGGGTTTGGAATCTCTCCAGAGAAGGAGACTCCACAACCTCTCTGGGCAGCCTGTCCCAGCGCTCGGTCACCCGCAGAGGGAAGAAGTTTTTCCTCATGTTCAGATGGAAGTTCCTCTGTTCCAGTTTGTGCCCGTTGCCCCTCGTCCTGTCACTGGGCACCACTGAGAAGAGTCTGGCCCCTTCCTCTAGACACCCACCCTTTAGATATTGATAAGTGTTGATCAGATCCCCTCTCAGTCTTCTCTTCCCCAGGCCAACCAGCCCCAGCTCTCTCAGCCTTTCCTCATACCAGAGATGCTCCAGGCCCCTCATCATCCTCGCAGCCCTCCGCTGGACTCTCCCCAGTAGTTCTCTGTCTTGAACTGGGGAGCCCAGAACTGGACACAGAACTCCAATGATGAGAAAGAGACGGACAGATCTTCCCTAACAGCCTGCAGAAACAAAACCCTGAACGCCACAATGCCCAGAAGGAGCACCCAGGATCTGGTCACTGGGGTGGCAAATACTGTGATGATGATGATGGCTGGAAGTCTGCGAGCTCTGGCACCAGGAGGGAGCTCCTTCTCCACCCAGGTTCAGTGCTCGGGGAGCAAGCAAGGGGCTGGGAGCTCTGTGAAATGCTACGTCTGTGCCAGCCGAGCCCGAACCCTGCAGCAGCACTGGGGAAGGTGGGGGAGTGATGGGGGGGAAGCTCCTCGCTGTGGGGGGCAGAGCCCCCACCTGCTAACCTCGCTAGGGAGGTTTGTGTTGGGGCTCAGATCTGGGATGGTGTGGGAAGACTGTGGAGGCTTCTCCAGCCCCCAGATTATTACCCCCTGCTGCTCTTCCACAGAGACACCAGCAGCACTGCTGGGGGAAGCCAGGAGCATATCATGAGTGACTGTGTGGCTCTGGGGGTGACAGCTGAGCGTGGCCCAGGTGGTCCTCTCCTCAGTCCTGCTGGTGAGGAGGAGGGGCTTGAGAAGCAGTGCGTGGGTTCTGTGGGTCAATGTGCAGTAGCACAGCTCATGTCACCAGGAATTCGGCTTTTACAAGGATAGAACCCTCTCTGAGGGCTGACTGGCAGAGATGGCATCCTCAGGACCAAGTGAGGCAAAAGGAACTTCTGTGAAGAGACAACCTGGTGAGGAGAGCTTTGAACCAGGAACGACACAGGAGGGAGATAATCACCCCGTCAGGCGAGGAAATGGCAGACCAGGGTGGCAAGCAATGGCTGCAGTGTGACACGGACAAGAGAACTTGAAACAACAAGAGAATATAAACAAAAGGCGAGCTCAGCCATATGCACACAATTAAGGAAGCGGTGAGAGGACTTATGGGGAAGCTCTCGCCCTCTTCCTGGAAAATCAGAGTGGGTGCCTACACGGAGTTGTACAGTACCACAAGCAGTACAGGCGCAAACAGGAGCAATCGGAGGTCTGTACAGCTGCGGGGCTCTAACCTCCCTGGGATCAGGCAGAGATGGCGGGACAGTGCGTGGGAGTAGACTGCACAATGGATGGATACGGGGTCTTTAGGAAGAGCCTGTAGTCAGGGAAGGCGGTGGGAGAAGTGAGAGCCCCTGCCCTTTACATGAGAGAACAGCGGGAATGCCTGGAGCTCTGCCTGGGCACTGACCACAAGCTGGCTGAGGGCTTACGGGTTAGGATTAGAGCTCTGGCAGATCAACGTGGGTGATGTCATGGTTGGTGTCCGACACAGACTGCCTGGTCGGGAAATAGTAGGCAAGAACTTCTTCAGAAAACTGGAAAAAGCCTCCTGTTCACAGGCACTGGCACTTAGTGGGGACTTTAACCATCCTGGTATCTGCTGAAAAGGCAACACAGCAGAGCACTGGCAATCCCAGAGGTGCCTCGATTTCTACTTAAGACAAACTTTTTTACTGTAAAGGGCGGTCAGTCACAGGAACGGGTTTGCCCAGAGAGGTTGTGGAGTCTCCATCCTCAGAGATGTTCAAAACCTGGCTGGACATAGAATCCCAGACTGGTTTGGGTTGGAAGGAATCTCAAAGCCCATCCAGTTTCCACCCCCTGCCATGGGCAGGGACACCCTCCACTAGCCCAGGTTGCCCAAAGCCCCATCCAACCTGGCCTTGAACACTGCCAGGGAGCCAGGGGCAGCCACAGCTGCTCTCGGGTGCCAGTGCCTCACCACCCTCACAGTGAAGAATTTTTTGCTTGTATCTAATGTAAATCTGCTCTCAGTTTAAACCCATCACCCCTTGTCCTATCACAACAAGCCCTTGTAAAAGTCCCTCTCCAGCTTTCCTGTAGGCCCCTTCAGGTACTGGAAGGCTGCTATAAGGTCTCCCCGGACCCTTCTCTTCTCCAGGCTGAACAAGCCCAACTCTCTCAGCCTGTCTCCAGAGCAGAGGTGCTCTAGCCCTCGGATCAGCTTCGTGGCCCTGAGCAATTTGCTCCACCTAATGCTGTGCTGAGCAGGGTGTTGGATGAGGCACGTCCAGAGGTCCCTTCCAACCCCAGCGTTCCTGTACTACAGCCACAGCAGCTACATAGTCCGCTCTGCCTCTGCTCTCTGGGGAGGACAGAGACCTCTACCCCTTCTACCATAATCAAGTGTACCATGTTGGGAGAGGAGACACAGGAACCTAAGCAGCTAGAGATCATCAGAGTAACTTATCCAGCTTCTCTTCATCCTAGGAAAAAATGCCAATGGCCAGAGAGATAGCTCAGTGGGTAGAGGTAGGACATCCCTAATTTCAGTGTTCAAAGCATCCTCCTCTACCTAGGAGAGGCCAAGGAGGCAGCGCCCGGGCAGTGCTCCCTGCCGCAGCAATGCCTACCAGTCTTCAGGAGGAACCTCCAAGTTCTTACCCGAACACCATGGTGCCATCCTTCCGGATGCCAAACTGAGCGTTTTGCAGGCCTCCAGAGTTTCTCACCAGCTTTCCATCGCTCACGACGTTCCCAAGGCACTCTCCGGTCCTCATGTCGAAGTACCCGCCGTTCTGGGCCACCAGACACTTCCCGAGCTTTGCGGTTTCTTCCACGGGGGCTCTGCGGTGAGCCTGGCAGCCTCCCGTGCCGCCCGGCTCCAGCACGGAGAAGGTCCTCAGGGGGTTCCTCACGAAAGTGAAGTGGCCATAGACCGCCCTGCGGTCCTCGCCCCCTGAGGGGACGTAAGAAACAAACGTTCTGGTG